TCCCCAGGCCCGTAATCTGCCATGGGCCCCCTGACCCCTCCCATGCTGCTCCGGGTCCGATCCCCCCGGGGTCCCTGTACGGCCCCCCCTTTGCTGCTGTCCCATCCCACACCTGCCATGTCCACTTTTCAGTTCTCCTCACAACTGCGGTGGGATCCATTTTGTCATAGCGGTTGCTGGCAGATTACGGGCCTCCCCATTGCTGCTGGGCCAGCCCGTAATCTGCCATGGGCCCCTGTACCCCTCCTCAAGATCATGCTGCTAGCCAGTCCAGAGTCTCCTCCTGGGTCCCTGTAACGGCCTCACCATTGCTGCTGTTCTCCATCGCCACACTCTGCCATGTGCCACTTTCAGTCTCCTCACACGGCTGTGTGTTCCATTGTTTGTCATAGGGTGCTGCAGATTACGGGCCTCCCAGTGCTGCTTGCTGCTGCCAGCCCGTAATCTGCCATGGCCCCCTTGTACCGCCTCTTCATGCTGCTAGCCCAGGTCCAGATCTCTCCAGGGGTCCCCTATTATAAAAAGTACGCCTCCCATTGCTGCTGTCTCCTTTGAGGAGGCCACGCAATTCGTGAGTCGGCAGGACTATGGGATGAACGACGTCATTCCTCTGTTGCACGTCCTGGAACAAATGCTGTTAACAATGGCTGGTCAGGGTGCGGTAGACGTGGCGCACAGATCTCAACGCCACATGACCCCTGTGGGGGCAGGACAGGAAGAAGAGGAGGAGGTAGAGGAGGACATTGGTGCTCAGGAATTATTGAGTGAAATGGGTGGTTTTTCCACTCAGCGGACAGGAGTGGAGGAGCAGGAGCATCTGGTAGAGGAGGAGGAGGAGACAGAGGACCCAGATGCACCGTGGCAGTATGCTGTGGAGATGGAGGCAGGGAGTCCCTCGCATTCCTTGGCACAAATGGCCCATAGCATGCTCGGTTGCTTGCGTAGCGACAGCCGAATAATAACCATCAGACAGAGGGATGACTTTTGGCTGCCCACCTTGTTGGACCCTTGCTACCATTCAAAAATGGTGGCCTTTTTCACACCTGCTGAGAGGGAGGCCAAAATAACGTACTATAAAAACCACCTATGTAGTCAGTTGGTCTCTGCCTTTCTGCGCCAACGTCCATCCTCAGACACTGTGGGCCCTGTGCGCTCGCGTTCCGCTGCCATGGCAGCAGGGGAGGGGTGGGGTGGTAGGAGCAGTGGCAGCTCCACCAGCAGCAGCTGCCTCAGTCTGCAGTCGATGATGAGTAGCTTTCTTCACCAGCGCAGTGAGGAAACTACTAACCAGCCGCAGCAACAGCAGCATCAGGTGGACCTGGAGCAGGACCTCAAACAACAGGCTAGGGCCTACTTGGACAGCACCCTGCCAACCGAGGTAGACAATCCCCTTGACTACTGGGCAACGAAACTTGACCTTTGGCCCCAACTAGCTGAATTTGCCCTTGAAAGGCTGTCATGCCCGGCCAGTAGCGTGGCATCGGAGCGCGTGTTTAGTGCGGCAGGAGGTATTGTAACTCCGCGGAGGACACGACTGTCCACCCAAAGTGGGAGAGACTCACGTTTGTGAAAATGAATCAGGCGTGGATTAGTCTGGATTTCAAACCACCAGTTCCTGACACAACTGACTAAATCCCCCATGAATCATGCCCCAAACATGTTATTTTTTTTAACATAGGCCTCTGTATGGCCTTCAATTTAAGCTGCTTACGCTTCGTCACTCTGCCATGGGCCCCTGTACCGCCTCCTCTTGCTGCTGCCAGGTCCAGAGTGTGTCATGGGTCCCTGTACAGCCTCCCATTGCTGCTGACTTCATCGCCAGACTCTGCCATGTGCCACTTTCAGGTCTCCTCACACTGCTGGTGTGTTCCATTTTGTCATAGGGTGCTGGCAGATTACGGGCCTCCCATTGCTGCTGCCAGGCCCGTAATCTGCTATGGGCCCCCGTACCGCCTCCTCATGCTGCTGCCAGGTCCAGAGTGTCTCATGGGTCCCTCTACGGCCTCCCATTGCTGCTGTCTCCATCGCCACACTCTGCCATGTGCCACTTTCAGGTCTCCTCACACTGCTGGTGTGTTCCATTTTGTCATAGGGTGCTGGCAGATTACGGGCCTCCCATTGCTGCTGCCAGGCCCGTAATCTGCCATGGGCCCCCGTACCGCCTCCTCATGCTGCTGCCAGGTCCAGAGTGTCTCATGGGTCCCTGTACGGCCTCCCATTGCTGCTGTCTCCATCGCCACACTCTGCCATGTGCCACTTTCAGGTCTCCTCACACTGCTGGTGGGTTCCATTTTGTCATAGGGTGCTGGCAGATTACGGGCCTCCCATTGCTGCTGCCAGGCCCGTAATCTGCCATGGGCCCCCGTACCGCCTCCTCATGCTGCTGCCAGGTCCAGAGTGTCTCATGGGTCCCTGTACAGCCTCCCATTGCTGCTGTCTCTATCGCCACACTCTGCCATGTGCCACTTTCAGGTCTCCTCACACTGCTGGTGGGTTCCATTTTGTCATAGGGTGCTGGCAGATTACGGGCCTCCCATTGCTGCTGCCAGGCCCGTAATCTGTCATGGGCCCCCGTACCGCCTCCTCATGCTGCTGCCAGGTCCAGAGTGTCTCATGGGTCCCTGTACGGCCTCCCATTGCTGCTGTCTCCATCGCCACACTCTGCCATGTGCCACTTTCAGGTCTCCTCACACTGCTGGTGGGTTCCATTTTGTCATAGGGTGCTGTATGGCCTCCCATTGCTGCTGCCTCCACCGCCACACTGTGGCTCCACACTCTGGTTTTGGCCCCGTGACTGCCCAAATGAGTGAAGTGTGCGGTGATTCTAAGATCGACGGCACTCATCTGCATGTCATACTGACTGACAGTATTATTTCTCTTCCCCAGCAGACTCCAAGGGCATTTAAATTAAAGGTACAGTGTTCTGCACTAATATAAAGGCTCTCTGAAGCCTAGAAACACCCTTTTTATAAGTTAAATTCGCAGCGAATATATTCGCATCGAATCGAATTTATTCCTCGAATTCACCGAATCAGCCGAATCGAATTTTTGAATACTTCGCTCATCTCTACAAGTCACTTATCAGGTCCCTTTGACCTTGTTTATTTTTTGAGCACCCAGTGTCACTTGATGATATTGAGCGCTACACCACTTTTTCTCTTATTTAATACATGTACAGTGGCCATTAGCTATATTTTTCTGTTGAGCACAGAAGATGCAGATATCAGGGGATGCTAAAGCACTGGGCAGTAAAGAATTGTTATCATCTGAGGTCTGCTGTTTTAGTGAGGACTTTAATGAGGAGGAGAGCTGGGGTACTTATGAAAAAAAAAAAGCACACCTGTTATGAAAGTGAAACTGAGATATTATCTTACCTTGTAATATAGAAGGCACCTACAATTATCTACAAGAGGTAAAATAATTGGCGCTGGAGAGATGGGGTTAAAAACTTAAAAGTCCCATTAATGGTAGGGAGATAGTAAGTTATAAGTCAGCACCATCATGAGGAAGCACCCTAAGAGTTAAGCTGCAGTGGAAGATAAAGGGAGAGAGGGGCGCCAGACTAAGTGCAGTATTAGCAATGGTTTAATAGCACACAATGATTTGTAACTCACTAGATACAAGTGGTATAAGAAATATTGGATCGAAGACTAGACTGGCTCAGCATGGTGGGTAGAAAATGTTTCGAGTAACTTGAGGGCACTTGATATTGGGGAATGGGTGGGTTGGAAGTGGTTAGGGGTCTGGATGACGTATGAAAAGGTCTCTTATTTTAGGTGGGTCAGGGTCTCTCTCAGCAAGAGTTTTTACTGGGAGTGGTATCCTTTTATTAGAACAATTGACTGGACCTGGTAGAGGTATATGTAAGAGGCTAGGAATGGCAGAAGAAAGGTGAGGAACGAAGATTTTTGACTTTTTCCAATTAAAAACCCAATTGAGATTATAATCATCCAAATCTCTTTTGAGTTTCCCTAATTTTGTTCCTATCAGAGAGTCCTCTTTATGTTTACTGTTGAGTTTAAGCATCCTAAGCCAAGTGTAAGGGAGTGTAGATGTTATGGATGTAAATTGGTAGATTAATTCTGAGGTTTTTCTTTGAAGATCAAGAAATCTTTTATCTCTATGAGAAATAAGTAGTTTCATATATTTTTGGGTACAAAATTCTGATACTGGTGCCCACTCTAACAGAGATGGTTCAATTTTTAATTTTATATGTTTTTAATTTTATATATTTCTAATCTGTTTTTGTGCATTATTACCTACTAATTATACCATCATTACTGCACAACATTCTTAATATGTACTGTTTTTTGCCAATGTCTTTATGTCTTGGGGCAATGCATAGTTTTTAAATTTTATATTTGTTTATATATTTTACATTTCTGTTGTATTGTTCTTAACATGTGCTTATATAACTTGTATACTCCCCATTCTGTTTGTCCCCATGATTGTATTATTGTAATATTCCCCTTCCTGTACTGGCCATGCTTGAGGGCGGTCAGATTCATCCCATGCAGCCGATCCCCCCTTCAGCTCCCTATGAGCTCCTTATTTAGATGGCCTGTACAGTGGCCAATCAGGTCTGACAAAGAAGCAGAAGCTTTAAAACTTGTTACCACCCCCTCCTTGCCACATTACGTTCCCGTGGTGATGTCACTTCCGCCCGGCAGCCATCTGGGTTCCAGCCTGGTTGTGACAATGTGAGTCAGGAGACCTGGCTTCTTCCACAGCCTTGGTCCCCAGATGTCCATCTACCCTCTCCTCCCTGCCTCCGGAACTCCACCAGGATGATGTTCACTTGTTACCCATGCCTCTGACCCACTAGTATCTAGTGAGTTACAAATCATTGTGTGTTATTAAACCATTGATAATACTGCACTTAGTCTGGTGCCCCTCTTTCCCTTTATCTACAATTATCTACAAATCCCTGTTTTGTTGTACAGATTTCCACTACAAATCCCATAGATAATGTTTGGCTCACCTTTTCCAACCCCCCCGCACTTTTCAATTGCACAACAAATGTGACAAATACCCTCACAGACCACTAGAAAGGACAGGAGCAAGTGGAGGTGGGGCAGCTATTTAATAACCTAGATTTTGAGGACAGCTAAATAATCTGCAAAAATTGAAGCACACACATAAATGTACATTTTTTATATATCTTGGGGTAAATTACAAGAAGTCTTCTGGTCCCTGGTGCCGGCATGTTAACTGTGGGAAGCCGGCTGGGACTCCTTACAGCTTCACAACTGGCTGCCCACTATGCATGCGCAAGCTGAATTGTGCACTGTTAATGGTCCCATAGCCTTCTGGAACCTCTGACGTATCCCAGATGGGTGTGGGCAGGGAGGGGGCATGGCTGAAATTTCATTTGGATTGCCCAGTTGATCCAAAATAAAGTGGGAGGGGTACCTGCTAAAACTGAGTGGCCTAGGAACGCTTAAATAACTTTGTATGATCATATCAATTTATAAAGTCTTCTACATTCCCCCATACTGCTTTCTAGCCAAATAACACTCAAGATGACCATAGACTTTTTTTGCAGGTCATACAACAATTTTCAGAGGAAACCACTTTCACTAATCTGTTAATCCAAAAACAACTTAACAAGTCAAGGCAATCCAACAGTAAAGCTGGTCAACAATGGATCACAATTTGTCTGCTTCAGCTAGGTCAGCCAAATTTTAATCCATGCATGGCTATCCCTGTTCAACAGACATTGATCATTAGATTGACTTATGTTGAATGGGAGTGTTGGAAAACTTTTGCCAACCAATGACTGCAGCCAATTGACTGCAGCTGTTGATCACTGTATTTTGACAGTAGAGAGTACCGCTGTCAAAATACAGTGTCCCAATGGGGGAGGATTCCTTCATCCATCTCGCTCGTGTGGATGAAGGAATCCATTCAATTTATTTCTTTCAACCCACTGACTGAAGGAAAAAAAATGACACATTTATTGTTTTACGACTTTGATCAATGCTATAAAAACACTGTAGGTGGCACATTCCTGTGTTTTCATGCTCAAAAGCTTACATTTGCTATGTTGTCTACTTGTCTGCCCTCCAAGTCTACTGCCCACTACTGTTTGTCAAACTCCTTCTTGCCTTTTAATATTTTCCCCAAAATGACTCTATAGTAGAGGGCCTGAAATCCCAGCAGCAGGCATTGACTTCAAAAGCATAGGTTCAACTCCTGTTCTTTTTCCTCCATACTTATTACAGCAAGACTTATACTTGTTGCAACCACTGTATAATTTTGCATGTAAATATTAATAGTGGTTGCTGTTAGTGACCGACTAGCATAATCCAAATACCAATTCAATAAATTGAAACTTTGAAATTTTCTCCCTGAGCTGTTTTTTTAAACTTCCTTCCACATGATTGGGTATTCTTAGCAAAGTGAAGGTTCACCAAGCTCTAGGGATAATTCCCTTGCAGAATAGAACTGCGCTTGCAAGGTGAACAGTTTATTTGCCTTTAGAAAATCAGAATCAGAATGTGAATTCTTATTTTGTTCACATCAGTACATTTAAGTATCAAGACACACTGGGGTTCATTTACTAAAGGCAAATAGAATGATTCCTTTACAAGGGAAGTTGCCTCTGAGCTTAGTGAATGAGGTGACTTTTCAATCGCTTGAACTTCACCTCATTCACTAAGCTCTAGTCTAGTTTATCTAGTTAAGCTGGAAATACTTTAACCTTGTTGCCAAAGGGCTTTTCAAAGGAAATAGCTAGGGTGGATTTTCTAAAGAGAAATCTCAGTATTCTAGGGACCTGGACTGTCCATGTACTGTATGTATCTTGTATTAAAAACATTGCCTAAAAGAAGTTGTTTTTTGGTAACAAACAATCTTTTTATAAAATATTTGTTGAAGTACTAAAGAACAAAAATCATTATAACTTATCTTTAAGTAAAAACAAAAAAAAGAAAATATTCCCTGATCTCCAAACTTGACTAGCCTAATGAGTCAATACAGGGTTTCTCAACCAGGGTTCTGTGGAACCCTAAGGTTCCTTCAGAGGTTGCCAGGGGTTCCTTGAGCAATGAGCAATTTTTGCCTCTCAGTTAAGTTCACACTGACACCAATCTTTTTAGCAATCTGTAAGGGGGTAATTCTTCCCAATGACCACAAGTGTACGGAGCAGTCTTACCTCTGACTATCACACTAATGTATCATGAATTATAGATAAAGTAATTTTTAGCAAGGGTTCCCTGAGACCAGAAATTTATGTCAAGGGTTCCTCTGCATTGAAAAGGTTGAGAAAGGCCGGTCAAGTATATAGGCTGAAATCTTAATTGCAAACTATCAAATGGAATAAAAGATCATGCTCACAGTAAGCAGATCTGGGTCAAATGGGCCAGAGGTTTGACTGCTCAGGTGCCATGCACTGCACAGTGGAAGGAAAGGCACATGTTCTCCCAATATCCAGAAATAAGGAGTATTTCCAAAGGATCTGGATGGTAAAAGAGAAAATACCCTGACCTTGTGCAGATGTGCCAATGGCCTCTGCCAGGGTCCAAAGGCCAGGTAGAGCCTGTGGGTTCAACGGCGTATGTGCCATAGTGGTGATGCATGAGGGAGTGGAGCCACCTGGGAGGCAAACTGAAGTTCTGCTTTTATTATTAGTAAAAAAGAAGTTGGCCATGCAGAGAACCTATGAAAGAGACAAAACTGAGAAAAAAACTCCACAACAGGGTTCCCAAGACAGCGTTCATTCAGATTCATGCACCCACTCCTGCGCAGTTTTGATATGAGGCTGTGTTTTTTGTGCAGCTGTCAGTCCCAGAGTGGCCATAGGCACACTGGGCTGTTGGGTCCACCTGGATAGGAGGGGAGGACGGGTGGCACATAGAGGAACCGGACCGTGCATTTCTCGGTTCATCTATGTTCCACCTGGTCACCCCTCCGATCCACCTCCTGCATGCCATGGGCTCCTGAATGCTCCCCCTCCAGCTGCCCCCCCCATCTTCTGCAGAGCTGTGGGGGATCTGTCAGTATATTCTGTCCCCAGTGCTGACAGTCCCCCACCACCACAGATAGGAGAGGAGAGAGCAGGGGCAGACTGACAACTCATAGTGCCCCCAGGCAATAGGGATCATGGGGCCCCTGTGTCCTTGCCCACACCCAAAAAAGCCTATAAAAAAGGTGCCAGGGGCATTTCATAGGGCTTCCTACTGAACCCAGGCCCTCGGGCAGTGTCCGAGCTCTCGAATGGTCAGTCCACCCCTGAGAGAGATAGCTGTTTCTGCCCTCCTCCTCCCGCCCTCTCCTCCTGTGTCTGCCCCACCCACACTCCCCACCAGCCTTGTGTCTTCTCTCCCCCTTCCTTCCTTCCTTCCTTCTCTCTGTCTCCTGTTTCCCTCCTTCTTTCTTTCCCTCCAAACAAAAAAAATGTAAAAAAAATAATAAAATTGTAAACAATTAAATAAAAATAAATACTGACACTAGTGGTGGAACTGCCAGGGTCGCTCTTGCGACCAGGCCCTGGCGTTCCACCACTGGGCTTTGAGGAAAGGATTCCCGGGCTTTGGGCTGCTCAGTCCAAAATACCCAGGCCTATTTTTTGTCCCAGTCCGGGCCTGGCAGCCGCTACATCTGCATCCACTTCTATAGGCTGACTGCATGCAGCTCCAAGGTGGATTCAGTCTCAGCATACAGGACAGGAGGCAGCGCCCATCTGAAAGAGACCTTATAGATGGTTGTTTCACTTTGACATAGACAGCCTCTTCACATGTTTTGCCAACCCATTGTCCTCTCTGTCCAAAATGTGCACCTCAATGTCCAAGAAAGAATCAGTTGCCTGATGCTCATTTGAACTGAATAGAACAAGAACTTCTTCAACACTACAGCAAAAAGTTCAGTTGAATATCACCAACTAGAACCCTTCTCAGACAAACAAACAACTCCACAAAAAAATGTTTTCTACTTCTACACTTTTTGTGGAGTGGGGAACAATTCATCATTGGTCTGGTCTTCTCTGTGGTCAAGAAACCGCATCTTTCTCAGTGAATTATATGGAAATTGCTTTTGAGTTTCTGAGCTTTCATTTTGATCATTTCAGAGTTTATGATACTGATTAACAAAATTCCCCTTAGCTAGGGATTTCTTACTCATGAGACTCTAAGGATTGTTTACTGTGTGTATATATATATATCACTCCTTTTTTTAAAATTGCATTTCTTTGATGATAGAAGAAATACCCTGCTTGTTTATCTGATCATCATGTATGCATATTTTCTACTAATGGTGCATGTACTACTTTTACTATTATATTTTATACTGTACTTTGCATTATCTATTTAGGTTAGGATTTGTTGTGACTGTTTTTGCTTAACTAACTAGTTACTAAAACGGACAGTTGGTAGGATATAGGTAGGGCTACAGATAAAGCACATCTAATCACCAAACCAAAAACTTGTAATATTTTCAGTGCTTAGATTAAGTATCAGAATACCATATCTGAGGACTTGACAGCTGCTATACATTACAAACTTTTCCATGTTTTAGGGAGATTGTAGATAATGGGGTTGTTGTTAGTCTAGGGGAGTATAGTAGAGCACTAGTGCTCATCATTCCAGTAGAGTGGAACCCATGGGTGCTTGTCAGTTCAAAGACCATCAGTCATCAGGTCTGGTGTTTTCTGCAGGATGAAATCAAATATATTTTTTGTACAGATATGAGATACCTGTATGTGGAAATCTTGGTACCAAGGATTCTCCAGATAAGCATTTTTTAAGGATTTCAGAGCAGTCACATAGAAGGCTTTGTGATGGAGCAAACAAATTTGAGTGTGACAACTTATTTCATCATAATTGGGTTCTCAGATTTCCCTATATTACAGCCTGCAATATCATTTCTGGTTCTTCTTGTTTTTCTTGCCACTGTCAGTGGTAACATGACAATTCTTCTACTGGTCTGCAAAGACCAACACCTTCACACTCCTATGTATTTCTTTATATGTAACTTGTCCATTGTGGACATCTGTTGCTCAACCAACAATCTACATAATATCCTCATCAGTTCAGTATTAGGAGACAACACTATTTCTATTGCTGGTTGTTTAATACAGATCTTTATATTCATATCCTTAACGTGTGCCGAGCTGCTTATTTTGGCGGTCATGAGTTACGATCGCTATGTAGCCATATGCAACCCGCTATACTACAACATGATCATGAACTTTCCTGTTTGTACCCTACTAGGAATTTCATGTTGGGTTTTAGGAGCTCTAGAAAGTATCCCAATTTTTTTGGAATTGTTCAGGTTAACTTGCTATAAATCAAACACCATCAACCACTTTTTCTGTGATATTATGCCAGTGATGAAATTGACCTGCAGTGACACAACTTTCTTGGATTTTTATATTCTTACCTTAGGAGTTTTAGTTTCAGCTTTCTCTCCATTTCTTTTCACAGTAATTTCCTACATCTTCATTATTGTCTCTGTTCTGAAGATCAATTCCACCGCTGGAAGACATAAAGCCTTCTACACTTTTTCCTCACACCTCACAGTCTTCATTCTGCTGTACACAACTCTTGCTATCCAGTACCTGAGACCACATTCAGTAATAAACTTAGACTCCAATAAACTGGTATCCCTGTTAAACACAGCCACTGTGCCTCTACTGAACCCACTTATTTACAGCTTAAAAAATAAGGATGTTAAAGAGGCCTTTAGAAGGAGAGTCAGAGCTACCATTCTACAATGCAGCAGAAATTAAAAGAACAAAATTAAAAACATTCTGCACAATCCAAATACCCATAAGCAGACACAAATAAACTGAAAAATCCTTTGAATGGCGTAATAGACAGCAGTGAATACAATATAGAGGTTCCAACCCTTACCTATTCTTTGGCTGGAATTGGGTTTTAAAACTATGGTCAATATATAAACATATGGTCAAACTATCACATAGAGTATGTAATGGAAGCTGACCATAACGGTAAGACTGAACCCCCCCCTAAACTTTATGTAAATACCTGCTTGTAGCTCTTATCACCAGAGAAGCCGTTTGGTATAATGGGTTATGTATTCTTTTCATTGACTCTATGAACAACTTTGCCCCCACTGACACACCTGGTTAAGTAATGGTTTGCTGCAAATGCCTATGTGAGCGCAAGTATCGGTATGCTACACACAACTATGTTAGGGTAGCAGGAAATAAGTACTAGACTGCTTAACTATAAGTTAAGTAAAGCAAGTATATTGTCACAGGACAAAAGTAAATAGCAATTTACAGATATTAAAGATCTGGTAAAAGAAACTTTTGCTTATAAATAAGCTAGCTGATGTAACTACTAGGTTATAGCATAGCAGTTTAGTCTAAATCACTGTATTACTAAAGCAAGATTAACCTAGCAATAACCAGTATCAACAATAATTATATATATACTGTATATATATTGAGGACCGTAGACGCAGTGGTTAGCCACGGAAACCTAATGCAGCAGATTAAAGACACATCGGGGGAGATCTACTAAAATGGGAGCAAGCAAAATCTGGTGCAGCTCTGCATAGAAACCAATCAGCTTCCATCAGCTACTATACACAACTGCACCAGATTCTGAGTGCTCCAGTTTTAGTAAATTTCCCCCCATCATGCTTACTTTCCTTCATCATCGGAAGATGGCCAGCAGTGCCATCAGCACAGAACTGGTGGAAACCAGTGGGACCCTGGTAAGCCCATTTACTGTCTTGAAAAGTCTGAAGTGGTCTTCATGGAAGAGATGCAGTCAGTCAAAAAAGCATACCTCCAACATGGAAATAAGGCTAAGTAACTCAACTATGCATGAAAACATAGGAACTGGGGAGCAGAAAAATGACAGCAGATGCCCTGGACTGATGAGTCAAAATTTAAAATATTTGTCTGTAGTAGGAGGCAGTTTGTTAAGTAAAGCACTGGAGAGCAATATAATAATGAGTGTCTGAAGGCAACAGTGAAGTATAGTGGTGTTCACTGAAAGTTTGGGGCTACTTTTCTGCAAATGGAGTCAGAGATTTGGTCAGGATCAATGGTGCCCTCAATGATGAGAAATACAGGCAGATACATATTCATCATTTGATTGGCCCCAAATCCATCAGTTGATTAGCCACAAATTTACTCTGCAGCAGGACAGCAACCCCAAACATACAACCAAAGTCATTAGGAACTATCTTCAGTGTAAAGAAGAAGGAGTTCTGGAAGTGATGGTCTGGCCCCCACAGAGCCCTGATCTCAACATCATTGAGTTCTGTGGTAAGATTATTTGAACAACCTACCTGCCGAGTTCCTTCAGAACACGTGTGCACGTGTACCTAGAAGAATTGATACTGTTTGAAGGGAAAGGGTGGTCACGCCAAATATTGATGTGTTTTGCATTTCTCTTCCATTCAGTAATTTTCTATTTTGTTAATTGATAAAAATAAACTACTAACAGTTTTATTTCTAAAAGCCTTCTTAATTTATAGCATTTATGCACACCTTCCTAAAATGTTTGCACAGTTATATATATATATATATATATTACTATCTTATTATATACGGGCAGCACAGTGGCTAAATGGTTAGCACTTCCACCATGCAGTACTAGAGTCATCGGTTCCCAAACATGGCACCACCTGCTTGAAGTTTGCATGTTCTCCCTGTGCCTGCTTGGGTTTCCTCCGGGTACTCCGGTTTCCTTCCACACTCCAAAGACATGCTGGTAGGTGAATTGGCTCCTGTCTAAATTGGCCCTAGTATGTGTATGTATGAATGTGAGTTAGGGACCTTAGATTGTACACCCCTTGAGGGTTAGGGACTGATGTGAATGTACAATATATATGTAAAGTGCTGCGTAAGTTGACGGTGCTATATAAGTACCTGAAATAAATAATAATAATATATATATATATATATATAAAACCCAGGAGATATACCTTTGCCTATTAGTAGCTCAGTTCAGGGTCCTTGTGGAGAAGTTGGTAAGTTTATGGCTCCTGAATTGCAATCTCAGACAGCTAATTGGTGGGGCCCAGTCTTTAAGGTGGTGTACAATCCCCTTTAAAACTCTACATTCAGTGATTTAGATTTACTAGATGGATGGTCAGTCCTTCTCTTACTCAGTCTGCTAGCAGCAGAAAAATTAAAAACCACAAGCAGCTGCTCACCGATCCCAGACACGCAGCAGGCTCTAGTTTGGATGCTTTGCTGTCAGCAATGCTTTTGGCTCAGCACTCAGGGTGACTCCAGTCCTCAAGCTATAGATGTTGAGTACACACAAAGCAGACAAGACGTGCCCAGGATAAACTGTTCCTTTTCCCTCTTGTCTATATCGGGGATCTGTAGTCTATCACTCCATTTACTCTTGTGCAAGATCCTCTTCCCAGACTACATTTCAGTTCACTGCAACCTGCATTAAAGTCCCTCAAGTCCTATATGCTCACCAGCTCCCTCTGCTGGACGGATGCTGAAAGCCATTGAAAGCCAGCATAAGAATCTTGTATAGGCACACAAAGCAGCTGAACTTTTAATAACATGACAGCATGGTCAACGGAACAACCTGTAGCAGGGACCTAGCAGTCTGTAAGTCCATGTGTAATGAGAAAGCTGGATGCTCAAGGTGGAAGATCATCATATTCAGTAGAGGACAGCAGGGAGTCATCCACTGTGATGTTGGCTGGCACCCTCTGCTCCAGTGATCAGAGCGGCACAGCTGTAGCCTCCTCATCCAGTAGAGCTGTAGGCATGGCTTCGTCAATGGCAGATGACAGAGGTAGTAATCCAGGTGGGGACCTGGGCACCTCAGGAGCAGGCTGGACCTCAACTGCAACAAGCAGTATAGCTTTTGTCACCTGCAATTGGAACCAGCTGACAGGTGAATGTAAAAAAATGGTCAGTCATATCTAGTGATAGTTTAAGAAAAATGGTAAGGCCCCTCCAAACTTATACTAGCACTGATATGGATTTTAAAGGGATATATATAAAAGGCATGGGAACCCCCCAAAACTGATTGATGACACATCCAGCATTCTTAAATGATAGTGGATTTACATTGTGGGGCCAAAATAATAAAGAACTTGTCAAAACGTGTGTGTGTCTTTATTTACCATTTACTTTTTATTGTGGATGAGTAAGGATGCTTATTTACATGGGGGAGTACCTGGGGGCCCCCTTATTTTTAAATAAACATGTAAAAAGGTGCTTTACCAGTGGGTCCTCCCTTGTTGAGGACACATGGTCTGGTATGGTTCAGGAGGTTGGGGTTGACACACGCTCATGTCCCCCTCTTTCCTGGACTGTCAGACTGCAAGCTCTGATAAAAGCCTACTATGGATTTTGGGGGGACCCCAATATTTTATGTGGGGTTCCCTCTTAAAATCCAAACCAACTGAAAAAGGTCTGATATGGATGTTTTTGTTAGCATGAGATCTCTCTTGATATCCATACCAGGCTCTCATCAATGACGGTCTGGTATGTGTTCTTAGGGGAAACCCCATTTTTTGTTGGTTCCCCAATTAATATTTATATCAGATCCTCATTTAGAATATACATGATAGGAATCCTTTGCCATTTTGTTTACAATCTGACATCCTCTAGACATGTTATTTAAAGAAATTGAGCATTTTTAATGTTTCATTTTAAGCATTACTAAAAACTCTGCACAACACCAAACAAAGTTTTAATAAATGTTTTTGCAGTTGTCACATGTTTTCCAACCCCCATGCTATTTGTTTGATAAATTGTTGCCTGTTAGCCTAGAAAATGGCCATTACTAATTCCTACTCTTTGACGTTGATAGAGTTTGGATTCAGCTCCTGAATTTCAGTAAAGTTTGGGGGAACCAGCCCTGATCCAAACACAAGCACATACAGTTCATCACTATCACTCGTTACAGGTATCCCAGGACTATTTGTGTAACTTGGTAGCAGGGCCTAAAGTGTAACTAAAGGCAAAACTTTTTTTAAAGTTTTGTATAGAGTGGAGAGGGAACACTTAGAACACGTGTCAGTTTTGATTGCTACCTTTGCCCCCATTAGGGAGATTCACCCTTTCTATTTGTCCTGTTTAATGTTATCATTGAAACATTTCATGGAACTTTCATGTAAAAAATATATATATCAATAGCAAAAATAAATTTTTTTAGCATTGCCAATTGCTACACAATCCATACTGTAATTCGGGGGCGAACTGACAACTGATGAGGCCCCCTGTGTCCCCGCCAACACTCAGGCCACACCCACACATAGCCCCACCTACATATTGCACTGCCGACATTGCATGTGTTTGTCACAGAATTTCTCTATATTAAAGTGCAAAAATGGTTCAGTTCCAAAAAGAATTCAAGAGTGAGCCATAGCATACCTTATTAAAAACCTGAACACAATTTTAGAGCAAATTAGAAAAAAAATAAATATTTGGGGAAAATAAAATTGCAGATTTTAAAACAGCACAAAATAAAACACTTTTAGGTCTTTTCAATCTGACAAACTATGTTCAAACTTCCAAAGTAATAGCAAAATAAACCAAATTACCCTAATTATGTGGGGGGAGGAGGAGAGGCAATACGTATTTTACACTCCAAGCAATGTGACATAAAATCACCATATTGTGACTGGGGTTACTAGAAACTC